ATATATATATATATATATATATATATATATATATGCAAAATATAATTAGTTAGTAAGGCACATCAATGAATTATCGGATTGGGAAAAACAACGTTCAGCTGAAATAAAGTTTTTTCTGCTTTATTTTTTGACCTCTTACTCGTTCCTCTTTTCCTTCTTTCAGCTATCTAAAAGAGTCTCATTTTACAAACAGATAATTACAAAGAAGGGAGAAAACAGAAAAAGATTATCTTAAACACTGAAAAAAAAAATTTGCAGGAAAATTTTTTAGTTTTCAGGGTGTGTTCATTGTTGGAGAAACCTAATTAAGGTCACGCGAAATTAACGGCTACTCAGCTTCGTTTAGAAAGTCAACATGTTTAAACTTTTTTTTGCAATAGGAAGTCAACTTCTTTTTAGGTTTCCGTTTTTGTTTGCCAAAATCAGTTCGCCGAACACTCAGTTGAGTAGGCCTTCAGTTAATTTGAGAAGAATGAAACTGAGTAGAAAGAGAAGGAAAAGACATTTAAAAAAGTTGTCACTGAACGTTATTTAGCTTTTATTAATCTGTATTATTGGATTTTATAATTAAAAATTCATTTTCTTTTTGCTTATTATTGGTTTGAAGACCGCACTGATAGCATTTTGAATATAAGTGGTCATGGATAGGCTTTATATAATTGGAAACACTCAGAGTTTGGTCTGGTCAACCAGCCAACAAATGGAGAGGAGGGGGATGGAGGGCGAAGGCTGTAATCAAAATAGTGTTCTGATAGTAAGTTATTCAGTGTTACATATAAAAACGATGTTGCGTCATTTAAACAGAAAAATCTCGTCAAAAAATTTGACGAAGGAAAATGTTAGAAAGTGAGACATAGGAGGTCAGTATGATATAATGAGAAGAAGGAGAGAAATAGATGAATATATGATACATCAAGCGTAGCGTTAAATAACTGATATAATAATATTCATTACTTGAAAACCGCTTATTTCTGTATGAGTAGCATTTTGGTTAGTCTGTGTAAAATGTGTCTTCTTTTAGAAGGTAGTGCGGATGAAAGTTGATTTTTTGTGGTGAGATGTAAGCAGTTGAAAGAGATAAATAAAAACTTAGGCTTTTGGAATAAAAAAATAAAACGTTCAAGTCGAGCTACATAACAAATTTGATAATAACTTTTGAACGCTGTTTAATTCTCAACTGTTTTTGGTCAAACAATTGTGAATAAAGCCGATTATTGATTTATCAAGACAGTGAACCTTTAGATTTGCTAATTTGCGTAAGCTTATGGAGATTTATGGTGCGGAAAAAATGACTGGTTATTGGATATTGACGGCAATTAACATTTAGGTCGTATACTGCTTATTTGCAAAGAATCAACACTTATTGCACAATATTCACTTTCTTACACTCAAAATTTGCATGTTACAAGTGAGAACAAAACATTTATCAACATGATTTTTTTTTCTTGAACATTCATCGGACTGTGGGAACAGTGAAAAATCAAGTTGCGAAGGAAGAAGAAATTTTGAACAGTGAGTGGATGGCGGA